CCCCCCCCTTTCTCACATGGCCATCGGGGATCTCACTCTCGGACTGATTACAATACCGTATTTAGAGAAATCTGGACCGAGAACGACAATTTGTCATTATGAATCGTCATGTGATAGTAGATCACGATTTCTTGGTTTTAAGAATAGTTTAATGGTACTTGCAACACAATAGTTCTTATCAGTGCCCAGTCATCATGTGACAGACCAGGTCAGGGTGACGCAAGTACTTTGTGCAGTATGGTGGCACAATGAGCGAAATGATAACGAAAGTGGTGGCATAAATTTCCTCTTTAACCTCTATGCTAAAGTGCAAAGTCTGCAAAGATCAGGGTTTAAAAGCGGACAAAGGCATATATATTAGCGTCAAAAGAGCTTGTATCTGTAAAGGTTCGAGCCATAATGTTGGAGACGCATGATTTTTTTTTTCCAGATCAATAAATTGTTTGAATGTATAACAGACTGGGATTATTATTTTAAAGGTAAGCAAAGAGTTACGAAATTTACGAAAGGAAAAGTGAAGTGCAACATTGTGACATACCTTTGTGCCTCCTCTCCAGATGGGGCACCCTCATTGCTGCTGTCTTGCGACAAATTGGCCAAAGCAAACTGGTTACAACCACAGGATATCAGCAGCGTGTCCGTGGTATACATCTTGAGCAAACAGAACAATCAGAAAACAATCTTGATACAATCCAATACGAAGTCTCACTGACAACTGAGCACTGCGCGTTCCGCACTGTAATTTAAAGGCTGGTAGAGCAGACAAGATCGTGCGCGTTTGCGGCGAAGAGAAACTTGACTGAACCCCTCTCTTCCTGAGACAGCCTGTTATACGCGGAAACTAGGCCATCACTGCGCACGCGACCCCGAACTCGATTCTGATTGGCTGAGCTGCCGCCTGCGCGAAACTGTTACGATGCCCGCCCGAGTGTGGCGAGGGCAAGCGGCGGAGAGAAAGAAAGAAGAACACAAAGAACAAGTAGGATCTAGATCGCGTATTGGGACAAATTTTGAATCAAGGGCAAAGGTCCTGAGAGCTGGCTGTACTTTCGCTTAGAGTGTCTAGTGAGTGCACGTCTCTCTGTCAGCCCCAATATGACTTAACGCCTATCTATCTATCTACTATCTACCCAATCGGCAATCGTTTACAGCTTTGTGTATGCACAGCAAGAAGAGGAAGAGCGGGGTTTCAAGTTATCGTCGGCCTGGCTTGTTGTAACGGGATTGATTGTGGCAGCAGTCAGCTGTGACCCAGAAAACCCGAACGAGGTCACGGAGGGCCGCTGAGTTCAGGTCTGCACGAGCGAGCCTGGGCTTGTCGGTCGGGGTCGTCTGCCCCTGGCTGGGACTGGGAGGGACGGGATGATGCTTTGTGTAGCAGGTAGCTGTGTCTGTCTTTGTTCACCGGGAGAGAAAGAGAGAAAGAAAGACGGGCGGGGGCACCCGTCACCCTGGCTTCTTTCTCCACCCCGAAGTTTTAACACTTTTCTTTCTTTCCGCCGAGCGAGTTTCTTTCTTCGCACCAAGAGAACCCAAGAACTGTCTTGGCGCGTGCCGGATTTGAACCGTTGACCCTGAGACGAGTTCAGTTGAGCTTCTGCTTTCCGACAGTTTCGCCTATCATTATTTTGGCGAGGTGGTTTTTCCCCTCCGTTGCAGAATAACAAAATAAAACAACTGCGCATTATTGATAGGGGGGTGCCAGTAATTTAAACACAATTTCTGCTGAGTCGTGAGAGTGCGGATCAGCTGTCGCCAACACTGTTAACCATCATTGCTGCTAGAGCAAGAGAGAGAGGAAAAATAATAAACTAATAGCCTAGGCCTAATACTGGCGAGCGAGACAGACCCGGTGGGCAGGGCATGCATGGAGAGAGGAACAATGGAGGGGTTTTTTTATGGCTAGCTCAGCTGTTTCATGGATGGACGGGAGATGTGACCGGCCGGACCTGAGGCTGGGTGATGATCAGAGAGTTTTACTACAGTATACAATGTACTGAAAACCCTCTCTGGTGGTGTGTATGTGTGCGTGTGTGTGTATTTGTGTCTGTGCGTGTGTGCGTGTGTGTATATGTGTGTGTGTTCCTCCATTTCTGGCAGCACTTTCTGATCGTGGTCAAAATTATCCAAATCACTTGGGTCTGTACATACGTATGTATAAGTATGTGTTTGTGCGTGTCTATGTGTGTGTTTGTGCGTGTCTGTGTGTGTATGTGTGTGTGTGTGTGTGTGTGTGAGTGCATCTGTGTGTAAGTGTATGTGTATGTTTGTGTATGTCTGTGTGTGTGCTCTGTTTGTGTGCTTCCATTTTTTGCAGCACTTTCTCATTATCAAAGTTATCCAAATCACTATTGTGTCAGTACATAAGCAAGTAGATATAATAATATTATGTTTTTGTGCGTATGTGGGTGCTCCTGTGTTTAATTATTATTAATTTTTTTGCAGCACTTTCTCATGGTCAAAGTCGTCAAAATCGCTTCCAGTACTTACACACGTGTGTGTGAGTGTGCGTGCGTACGTGCGTTTGTTTGTGCTGGTGTGGCTGAGGGGGTTGTGGGTGGGGTTGGAGATCTAAGGTGTGGTGGGGTATGGGGTATGGGAGGCGTTGGCATCCAGCCACACGCGCTGACAACTGGCAGCTGGTGTCCCTACAAACAGTTTCCTCC